GTAGAGCAGGACATACGGACATAATATTACCTTACAAGTAAAATTAAATGGATTTATAAGATACGAGATTAGGTAGCACTTAAAATTAGTTACACAAATTGCTCATGTAATCATATATACTGTCTAATCTTAACTCTAATAAACTATCGTCAGTTATGACTTAAAAAAAAAAAAAAAAAAGGTTTTTATTAAAAATTTATATTTTTTAAGAAAATTATCAAAAAAATAAATTTATAAAAAAAAATTGATTAATAAAGGAATTTTTTTTCATTATCAATTATTTTTTTTAATCATCACTAATATCATCAAAATATATAAATACAATTAATAAAAGTTTGTATATTTTCTTTATAAATATGGTCTATGATAGATTCATTAATTATTTTCAAAAATTTAAATCAAATTGAGATAGATACATGAAATTTTCTAAAAAATTATAAAAGTTTTAAAAATAACTAACAAGAGAAAAAAATAAATCCTTTATTGCAAAAAAAAAATTTTTTTTTTGTAACTTGTTTTAAATATAATAAAGGTTTTTAAATACATTTTTCTTTATTGAAAACTTTTTTATTATTGATAAAAAAAGAATTTCGCAATTTTACCTAATTATTATAAATCAAGTTATTATTTAAAAAAAGCATTTCGCAATTTTACCTAAATTATTATAAATTGATTGAAACCTTATTATAGATTTATAAAATACACGTAAAAAATTGATAAATAACCAATCCATTTCTAGTGAATTAATAAATCAAAGTTTTATGTAAGAAAAAAAAAGTTTATAATTAAATAATATATATAATATAAGATACAAAAGTACGCATATATGAAAAGAAATATGAATATTTTATTAACAATAAAACAAATAATTACAAATGATATTTTTTGCTATAATTAATTGATTATGTAAAACGGAAGAAAAAAAAAAAGAAGAAATTACAACACCATTACACGTTATATATCTCAATATTCATTATAACTAAAATTGCAATATATATATATTTATACAAGTATTGCAAAATAAATCAAATATTATAAATAAGACATTCCTGAATAGTCTGGTTTTATTAAAGCGTACCCAATAAACCCGTAGGAAAAGACAATTTTTTTTTTTTGATTGGACACATTAATGATAAATATCTAAAGTTTTATTTGATTACTTATTGATAGCCTATAAATATATAAATCAAAATTAATAAGCGAATTTAAGGTAAACTTTCAAAATTAGGACGTGCTAATCAATGGTGCTAAACAATTTCAATAAGAAGTTTCTTAGTACACCAGGTTGAAGCAGCGAACCACTTGGCTCGAATTTTCACTCACCAGAAAGCAACGCTTTCTCAGCAAAATATTTAACATCAGCATCTGAATCCTCCCTTAATTTGTCCAACGCCGGTTTTACTTGGGTCTCCAACAGTACGCCTGTTTCGGGACTCCGTTTGAGAACTGGTATTAATACCTCGTAGGATTTAGCAACGTTAAACCGAATGTTGGGGATAGGATCGGAGACAAGATTATTCACCGTCGGAAGGATGTGATCTCTGATGACCTCTGGAGTAACCGCAGGCGCCATAGTCTATTAAGCAGACCTATTAGCTCGCGAATTTCTAAAGTAAACCTTCAGGTAGGAAATTAGATGATACCAACCGTAATCGCGAAAATCGTAGTCATCCTATATAAATAATTTGGGTGAGTACCCATGGCCAAAACTTTTGGTATGATAGTAGACTTGGCCCATTCGACGCCAAAGACCTCGGTTAATTTCTTCAAATTAACTGTTGCCGCTTCACGAATGGAATACACATTATCTCCTAGCCAAGACATGCAAAGATTTCCAAGTTTCTCATCAAAAAAGGTGACACCCAACTGACTGGCAAGCAAAGGAATATGATCAATGATCGCGAGTCGCACGCGCCACTGTTTGTCTTCGGCTAATTCAACTATTGCCGGAAGAAGGTTCTGTGACAAAAGCTCAATGCCAATGACTATTTGAATAATAAAGGTAATGTTAAGTCACAGGAAAGTCGACGTACAGTCAACCAAAAAAAAAAAATGACGCCCAGTCCACTTGCGTAAATCATGTGAAAATCGGACGTCACTTTTTTTTTGTTGACTGTACCTTTAAACTTGATAACTGAATTGAGCGAATTTACCCTCATTCACTTGTTTTAACTTGGATATAATATTAAGCCTCACGTCAGGAGACTCATCTTTTAGGAGTTGTAAAAAGAGAGGCAACAAATGTTCGGTCGTGCTAATAAAGAAAATCGTGATGTAAATGAGGAGCGAGAAATGATTTCGATCAATCATATACTCTTGTCACGTACGCTTCCTTGCCCAAAATAGGTGCCAGCCCGCTGATTTGGGTAGCCAAACTTGCGCGGACATGCTGTGAAGTATCAGTCACCAAATCCTTGACGCACGGCAGTATATAGGTCAAAATTGTCTGCTTATCGATATGCTGTGCAAAACCTGGACGACCAAAAAATAAATTTT